AACAGGAAACAGAAGAACTAATAGTAGTGAGTAACAGTGGGTTTCTGAGCATGGTTGTACAAATGAGCAGGTGGTAGATGGAAAGGGAAGGAGGCCTGTGTGTGTGTGTGTGTGTGTGTGAAGTAGGATTAGGAGCTAAAGTTGCCTCTCTCCTAGCTGGCATATCTCATAGAACAGCCACCTTAAAACTGATCGGAGGGGGGGGGGGGGAGGCAGGCTTATGAACTTCAAGGTGAGGCTGGCCCTGCTGCCACCATCCAGTTCTGGGACCAATAGAGGGCAGTCCTCCCCCATAGAGTCCTGAGAGGAGCAAGGGGAGCCCTGAATGGCCCAGTGAACACAAACTCTTAGACCTTCAAATAAGACAGGCAGGGACAAAATTGATGGCTCCAGTTTCTAAGCTGCAAGCTCTGGGTAGATATTCTTGGCTGAGCTTACTTGGAGCATTTAGGCCAGATGACCAGCCTTCTTTTTGGTCCACCCCCAGCCTAGGTAATTCTCTTTTCTGGAGCTAATGATGGGCTGGGGAAAGTTCGTGGGAGACAGGCAGCTTTGCCTTGAACGGGTCAAATATTGATTCTTCCCCATGTAGGCCAGAACCTGTCCAGCGGAGGCCAAGTTCCAAATAGCTCCAAGTAAACTGTGGTAAGGGTTCAGTTAGAGCTGTGGAGAGTCAAGTCCAGGCCATGAGATGATTGCCTAGGGCCTATGTCATGCATAGGAGCCAGTGTAAGGACAGGAGTTGAGGGAGAATTGCCAAGTTTTTGAGGCTTAGGGCCGGTGCCTTCTGTGTTTGCCTTCATTGACTACAAGGGACCATGACAACCACCTTCCTTTTTTTTTTCCCCCAGCATTGGCTAACCTTGCAAATATTCTAGCTCCCAGAATTTGCAGTATAGCTTGGATTTTCTTTCCTATGTTCTTACTTCTGGGATTTACACAACCAATGAATAGTATATACACCAGTTCAAGCAGGTATTTCCATACAGGGTGAAGTTCTATTTAGATGAACCAGTGACTGGCATGGCCGTTGGAAATAGTTTTGTTCAAGTGCAAAGGAGATGGAGGGAGATAGGGTCCAAAAATTCCCAGTTCGCTAAGGAATGCTTAAGATGCCTGGGAAGTTAACATATGTCTCTCTGAAACAAGAGGGTTTCTGTGGCTCTTGGGAGCAAGCAGGTAGATATACAAATGTCTGGGATGGAGAAACTGTGGACATGTCCACCATTCATTGTGCCTTTCTTAAACTCTATTCTCTCTAGACAGATTCCAGGGGAAAACATTTCTTCCCTCCCTCCCTCCTTTCCTCCCTCCCTCCCTCCGTGTATGTGTGTGTGTGTGTGTTTCTTTGTAAAGTTAGAGGTATGAAGTTGCTATGTTGATCATCAGGGGCTAGAGTCTGGGAGAAACCCTAGGACTTTCTGCCATGGGGCTTAATCACAGGGTAGCTGTTCTGGGCTGGTGTCTCATTAAGTAAAATCCTTGTAAAGTGGGAGATTTTCTTCCATCCCCTTTCCCACTTCCATTTCTTCTTTCTTTTCTTTCTTTCTTTTTCTTTTCTCTGTCTCAGCTGCTGCTGGTTCTTGGGAGGTCACATTGTTTTGCTGTTTTTGAGTTGACTTGCTTAAATAAGAAACCCACCCTCTTGTACAGGATTAAGCAGACAATTAGGAAATCAATCAATCAATTGGTGTCAGCTGCAAGCAAGAGACCAGTGAAAGGCCCCCTTCTTTCTGAAGCCTCTTTTCCAACCTTAAAACCTGCTGAGATCTGGGGCAGAGGCTGGTGGGACCAGGCGCCTGTGATTCATTTATTTCTCTTTCAGCCCCTACCCCCACCTGGAGGCTGGAATAAATCTGAGCATGGAGAAATTATAAGGAAGTGAGGAGAGTGGGATGGCTTAAAAGTTTTATATGTAGTAGAATAGGAAATGAGAGGCCAAGGTAGGATGGCCAGTAGTGGCTGGCTTCCGGCTGTGTTTTTGGTAACAAGTTCCCGGCCTCCTTAAGAAGCAGGAGGTGGTTCCCTGGCCCACCATATGGGGAGCACAGGGATGGGGACATGGGTGTTCGTCACAGGACTATTCATTTACTATGGTTGGACCAAAGAAATACAGAAAATAAAAAGGAGCAGCAAGAACTTTTGAAAACCACAGCAGCCTTTGTACATGCTGAGATAATTTTCCCCTCCCCCTGCAATATTGGGTGGGGGCAGAGCCCAGAAAGTTGCCAGAAATCATCAGCCTAGTGACTGTCGTATAGGCCAGGAACATCTCTTTGGACATCCCTGATGCCAACAGCCAAGGGCTCTCACAGAACTGGACTTACGACAGTTCCCCTGGCAGGAATGGCTCCCAGGTCCCTTCACTATGGATCCATGGATATAACTTTCTCCTCAGACAAGCAATTGTGCCTTCAACTTTGGCTCCATGAAGGATCAAGGAAACCTCCTGTGATTTCTCCCGAGAAGGGAAAAGAATTGCATCTATCAAGGAAAAAGGAGTTGTTTTAGGAAAATATACTATCTTGACTTTTGACGAAGGTTTTCTTGACTTTTTTTTTTAACTTGCCCCATCTGCCCCAACCCTGACCCTCGGAGAGGATGTTGCTCTGAAGGTGTGGAGTCCTCGCTCCTTCAGTATATGCATTACTCCGTGGAGGTGAAGGTGGTCCACGGTGGTGGGGAAGGTCCTTGGGTGCCTGTCTCTGGGGATGTCAAATCCTTCCCCACAGTACAGTTGCCTGTGTCCCCACTTTTCCCTAAGAGAAGTTAGGGCATGTGCTCTTCGAGGCTTTGCCCATGCAAACAAGGCAGAGCTCCCTCCCAAGCTGACTCAGTTCTGCAGTACTGCCCAATAGACCTCAGTCTAAGCTGTCACACGCCCACTGGACCCTGGTGGGCTTGGGCACCACTTCTGGGCAGAGAACCAGTTGAGATAGAAGAGTGGGACGGGATCAGGTTTCCAGTTGCCCCAGGAATTAAAATGGGGAACTTGGCCTGGACCCCAGGTGTGGGGTGCAAAGTGAAACCAAAGTTAGACGTTGTGGTATTGGGCAGGAGATGCATAGATTCTAGGCTGGTGATCCAAGTAGGTGAGCTACTTCCTAAGTGGAGAGTAGTAATCAAGTTGTGTCTGAGGAACAGCTGACCCATGTTTTGGGTGGTGTCCTAGGCACTGGTACGGTGTCTGTAGTCCATGGGAGAGGGATGTGAAGTGAGTTCACTTTCCCTACACTGACACACCTAAGGCAGACAGACCCAACTGTTGCCCAAGAAACAGGCGGTCCTGATACTAGCTTGGTTCCCTTTCTCTTTTTTAGGGAGGCCAGAAATTTAGAGGAGGTGAAGCTCCCGGGAAAACCAACCCAGCCCTAGCAGTAAAGAGAACAGGACACAGCCCTGGGGTACATGTTTATGTGAGTAATAAAATATTTACTATAACATAAATATAAAGGGAACTTCCCAGTCTACATTATTATTATTTGCAATAAAGATACAAAGAGAACGCACCAAAACATTGTTCCAAAAATAAAAAATAAAATAACAAAATTTAAATTCAAACCATAACAGAAGAAAGAAATGGAAAAAAAGGGGAAGCTCCAAAATACATCGAGAAAATAAATAAAGATGGGCCAGAAATCAGGAAATCATATTAAAATATCTTTTTCGGATTAGTCGGGTGTACAAAATCGTTTAGGATGGGGCGGGGGCGGGGGTGACAACCCAGGAAACCAAAAATAAAAACCAAGCACAAAATGTTTCTTTCCCACCCCCCGCCAGTGTGTACATATCTCACATATTTACATGGTTCCCACCTTACCCCAAACTTGGGGAATTTCTCTCTGGGGCTCCCCCAGCACCCTGCAATTCCCCGGGGCTGGAAAGGGAGTAGAGGAAAGCTGGAGGGAATCAGGCAGAAGGTTTTTTTTTTTTTTTTCTTTTTTTCTCCTTTCAGGGAACGGCTTATTTCTACAGCTGGTTAAAAAATATCTCCAAACTTTTCCAAGTTTCGTCCGTCCTGGCCAGGAGGGCAGGGCTCGGCGGGGAGCGGGGACCCCCCCACCCCCCGCCCCGCGCGGTGACTGAAGTCTGCTGCGGGGGACCGGGAGCGGGGGTGAGGGGGGAGGCCCCCTCCTATCCGGTGTGTGTGGCCGCGGACACCCCTCTGGCGAGGCCAGGATCCGAGCCGAAGCTCGGATAAAACGAAACGAAAAATGAACACTCGAATATTTTGTCAGTTTTTTTTGTTTTTGTTTTGCTTTTTTTTGGGGGGTGTGTGTTGGGGAGGGGGAGAAGGGTTGGGAAAGATAAAGAGGGGAAAAATAAATTAGGCTAGATTAAAGCTTTGGCTATTTCCTGCTTTTATACACAGACGCGGCTCTCGCGGCCTCCCCTCCGGGGCCCCGATAAATACAGTATACAGCGATTTAAATTAAGGGCGCGGGCGGAGTTAGAAGGACCCCAGGAGCAGAGGGGCCCCAGGAATAAATAAAAACTGTAAAAAAAAAAAAAAAAGAACCCCAACAAAAAACGAAAACCCCAAGCCCGGAGAAAGGGAAAGGGGAGGATGGGGCGCATCCTTCTGGGAGAGAAGAGGCCCGGAGCGGAGAACGTGACAGCCCCCCACCCCTGCCCCGCAGGCAGAGGGGAGAGGGGATGCGGATCTCTCTCCTCGCTTCGTCCTCTCTCCCGGGGATATCCCTAAACCCCGCACCGCGTTACCTGTCGCTGTGGGGAGGCCGCTGCCGGGATCCGGCCCCGAACAGCCCGGGGTGGGGTGGGGTAGGGGTTGGGGTCGTCGAGGGGACGGGGACAAGGCGCAGGCAGCGGGCAGGATGCCCAGGGTGAGTTGGCGCGTCCCCGATCTTCGCTGCTTTCTCTCTCGGGGCTCGGGCGACACAGCCCCGATGGACTGTCTCCGCCACTCGCCGGAGAGGGTCGTCCCGGCGTTTGGTTTTTGTTTGAAAGTTTCTGGGCTTTTTTTTTTTTTGTTGTTGTTGTTTGTAAAATCCAAAGCAACCGAACAAAAAGAGTCCAGGCCGCGCGGGAGGTCTGCGCGCCCGCGTCTCGCCGCGCCTCGCCGCCGGCTGCGAGGGGTGTTGGGGGCGGGGGGAGCCCAGCCCGCGGGGTCACTGCACCGAGCCCGGCAGTGTGTGGTGGTGGTGGTGGTGCAGCGCGGCTGGAGGCGGGGGCGGGGGCGCCGAGGGCGGCGACGCGCCGCCCCCGCCCGGCCCCAGCTCCCCGGGCGCGTAAACGTCGTCCATGGGCGGGTGGCCCGCGCCGGCCGCGGGGGTCATGCGCTTCTCTTTCTGCCGCCGGTTGCAGAACCACACGCGCACCACCTCCTTCTCCAGCTGCAGGCTGTCAGCCAGGCCCGTGATCTCGTGCGCCGAGGGCTTGGGGCACTTGAGGAAATGGCTCTCCAGCGCGCCTTTCACCCCGACCTCGATGGACGTGCGCTTCTTGCGCTTGCGGCCCTGCGCCGCGATCTTGTCCAGGTTGGTGGGGCTGCCGCTGGACGAGTCGGTCTCCTCCAGCCACTTGTTGAGCAGCGGCTTGAGCTTGCACATGTTCTTGAAGCTCAGCTGCAGGGCTTCGAAGCGGCAGATGGTGGTCTGCGAGAACACGTTCCCGTACAGCGTGCCCAGCGCCAGCCCCACGTCGGCCTGCGTGAAGCCCAGCTTGATGCGCCGCTGCTTGAACTGCTTGGCGAACTGCTCCAGGTCGTCAGAGCTGGGCGCATCCTCGTCCGAGTGCTCGCCCACCGACGAGCCACCACCGCCCGCGCCCGGGTGCAGGTGTGCCGCCGCCGCGTGCAGGCCGCCCGCGTGTGCGTGTCCGTGTGCGTGTCCGTGGGCGCCCAGGTGCGGCGGCGGCGACGGCTCCAGTTGTGCCTCGTGGCCGTCCTCGTGCAGCGCGTGGTGCAGGCCCGGCCCCGCGCCACCACCGCCCGCCGCCAGCATCCCGGCCAGGCCGCCGCCGCCGCCCCCTGGGTAGGCCGCCTGCGCGTACAGCCCAAGCGGCTGCGGCTGGTGGCCCCCGCCGGCCCCAGGCGACGGCGACATGGCTGGGCCCAAGTGGTGCGCCGTGCCTCCCTGCGCCCATGCCGCACCCGCGTGGGCCGCCCCCTGGTGCACCAGGCGCGCGTGGAAACCTCCACCGCCGCCGCCGTCGTCAGCTCGGCCAGTGCCACCACCCGCCTTGCCGTGTTCCAGGTGAGGGCCACCGGCCCAGTCGCCGCCGCCGCCGCCTCCGGTGGGAAGCCACTGGGGGTGCGCTAGGCCCACGGGGTGGCCCGCGCCCGCGCCCAGCCACTCGTGGTGCATAAGCTTCTGCACTTCGCGGTACGCGGCCCCCGCGTGTAGCCGCTCAGCGGCCGCCGCCGCCGCCGCTGCCGCCGCGGCATCCGGATGCATGAGCGGTCCCGTGCCCCCAGCTCCGCCGCCGGGGCCCCGCGGCAGGTACTGCGCTGTGGTGGCCATGTCGCCCCGCGCCCTGCGCCGCGCCGCGCCGCCGCCGCCGCTTCGCTCCGTCTGCGGGCCCCGCCGCCGCGCTCCGCCGGCTTAAAGCCCCGACCGGCTCGGCGCTCTGGAGCCCCACCCCGCCGGGCGCCCATTGGCTGCCCGCGGAGCCGCCTCCCGCCCCCCGGCCTCGGCCCCCGCCCCCCACGCCCGCCAGCCTCCGGGCCCGGCAGCCCGGAGCTCGCCATTGGGTCTCTCTACGGGGGTCCCGCGCGCCGGCCATGCTGATTGGCCGCTGGGGCTTCATTCACGCCCCCCCCAGCCCTCCGCGTACACATTCACGCCCCGGGGGCGCGGTCGCCACGTGGGGAGTGGCGCGGGGGTGGCCCTGGGACCGCACCCCCTCTCGTCCTGGCTGCGTGGGCCCCGCTTTTCCCCAACGCTGGAGACTCAGAGCTCGGCCGGTCCCACATTCCACGCGGGCTGAATTCCCGCCTGCATCGCACCTGGGCGGCATGGATTACGGGCTCCGGGAGGCGCTCGGGCTCCGAGAAGCGACTCAGCCCCTGGCTCCTCTTCTCCGCAGTGCCGCTTCCTGCGGGCCGGCATTCCCGCGGGTCTGGGCTGCTGCGAGCTCGAGCTCCAGGCGGCTCGGGTTCCCGGCTCGGTTCCGGCGCGGCCATTCCCCTCTCCTGCCTCGCCTCCTGCAGCTTCCAGGTTGCCCTGAGCGCTCCTGCGCGGGCCACCTTGGCCCGTCTCGGTTTCCCGCTCTTCTGCGCGGACCTTTACAGCCTTGCCAGCGCCTCGGGTGCCGACGGCGTCGGATGGGCTCCCGCTTCGGGCCTCGCAGCGACACCCTCTTCTTCTTCTTCTGGGCGCCGAGGCCAGGTGAGTACCGCGCGGGAGCTCCGCGCCGGGACAGCCGGCGGCAGACGTTTTGTGTGGAGACCAGCGCTTCTGTAACCCTGCCTGGTTCCCGGACGACCTCGAGGTGGAGACTGTGGCTCTGGGGAAAACATCACTAGCTCGGAGGGTTGGGGGGAGGGGGTGATGGACACCGGACCCAGTCCTGCGCGGCTGTAGCCTTCTTGCCCCAGTTTGAATGGTTCATTGGTGGTGGTCATGCGGGGTCACGCCCCAGGAAGCTTGCTATAAAAGGGGAGTGGCGTGGACTCAGGGAAGGAAAAGGGAAGCTGGCACTTCAGAGATCCCTCTTGCAGACTGGGAGCTGTCCAGCCTGGTGTGGAGCCCTGGGTTGGAGTTTACCTGGACTTGCGCAGAGCTTTTCAAAAGGGAACTGAGGTTGAGGAGTTCTAGTTGGAAAAGCTGGGGGTGGTGAAATTTCACCGCCTCCTCATTTCCGCAGCTCTGAGAGCTTCCTGAAGCATCCTGAGTGGAGGAAGACCCTAGCTGCAGCTCTTCTGTACCTTCTTGCCCTACCAGGCCCTTTGCCTCCTCCTGACCCCCACATGGAGGTTTGGGTCCTGGAGAGTTTTTTTTTCCATTGCTAGTTCTCTCTCTCTCTCTCTCTCTCTTTTTGTTCTTGGTCTTCCTTCAAATGGATTTACAGATTCCAGGGCCCTGGGTACCTGATCCTAGGACGGAATGAAGGTTCAGCTAGGGCTTAGCTAGGGCCAGACTAGGTAAGTCAGTACTGTGGAATAAAGCCTTAGGGTGTGAAGATAGGTGATGGGGGCTTGCTCTAGAGGCAGCTGCTGTGAAGATATTTCAGCAGGTGGGACAGAATCGAGAGTGACAAGTGTTATCGTGGATAAAGATGATGCTCATCCGAGCCCTGAGTGCTCCAAGTCCAGTCTCTGGCTATTCCTTGGAGGGAAGGATTAGGACAGGACATAGCCCTTGTCTGGCTAGTGGCTCTATCTTGAACAGGGTCCTTTAGCTCATTTTAGCTGCAGAAGCTGTAACAGATCTCTGTGCCTGATCCTAGCTTAGGATACCGGGCTTTCTGGACTCTGGCCTGGGCAGTGGTCACTTGGAGGCAACCCAGGGTCTCCCACTCCGAACCAGGAAGTAAGATCAAGGCTGGGAGTCCAGCAGTGAAGTTTCATTTCACCCCAACATTAATCAGACCTAACCTAACCCAGCCTGTGTGACACTGAAGCCTGGGCTTCCTTTTAATCTGTAACTGCCACTATCTTTCTAGGTAAGAGTAACTCTGCTCCATCCTCTCTGGCCCTTGGTTTTCCTCCTTGTAAATTGGAAACACAAAAACAACAAAGGAATAATGACCCCCCCCCCCCCCCCCCCCCCCGCAAACAAACAAAAAATCCTTAGTATCAGAAACAGCTCTTTTGGCTCACTAGGGTGATAGAAAACAATGGAAATGAAAATCCCTCAGAAGGGGCTTTTACTCTGGTCTAGTGGGTGGGCAGGCAAGGCACTCCCTTTCTTTAGCAAAATCGTAGCTTCTCCTCTGTAGAGGAGGCTTATGGAGGTTTGAAACATACTTCTAGCTGTGATGGTCTACGATTTTATACAACTGATTCCGTACATCTGTGCCTGTTCCTCCTGGAGAATGGGAAATGTCCAGATAGTGGACACGTGTGTTGATGTCCAGGTTTTTGAGGTTGCCATTGAGGCTTAGAGAATAGGGACCAGTAGGTAAGGTGCTTTAAAAAGTACTTTCCCGACCATTCTTTTGCCCATCACCACCCTCAGCGTGTAAATAAAAAGCATGAGACTTGCTGGTGCATTCCTGCCTGTCCTTCTCCTCATTGCTGTGGAGTGGGGGAGGCTGCCTGAGGAGTGGCAGCTGAGACTGTCAGTAAAGAGAACCCGAAGTCCTCACCCTGGCAGCTCTCAGAAGCAGGCCAGGGCCAGCTGGCCCTCCGGAATCTGTGTTCCCAGTTTAGTGCTGAGTTGAGAGTTGTCTATAGTAGCCAGGCTGATGGTAGGTTTCCAGCTTGTTGCCCATCACCCTCCATTAGCAGCATGTGATTTCGTGTGAAATTACTTTGGAGCCTCAGCATCTCCATCTTAAAATGGGGATAGTAATGCATACCGTCTCAGGATTGCTCTGAAACTCCAAGGAAATGATAAAGCATGTGATTTAAGTGTCCTTTACATATTAGACACTGCCCTAGGGGTGATTAGCAGTGTGAACTAAAGGGAAGGTAAAAATGGCTTTGGAAATTTTAGACCTTGTATAATGATCTGGGTTTGTCTTGAGTCACAATTTTCTTGGGAGTTAAGTTTTTCCCCAAAAGTCTTAACATTCTCCTTCTTCTTGTTCCTGGAGATTCGATGTGGGACACTGGGGGCTGTGACACAGCTCCTGGCAAATATCTGAAGCTGTAAGTTTTGATCTGTCTAGAAGTACCAACTTCACAGATCCTGAATAGAATTCTTTATATTACAATACTCAACTGAAGGTGTACATGCCAAAGCTGGACACTCACCTGACCCATGCAGAAACCAAACACCGAGGACATGCCAAGGGACACACACACACACACACACACACACACACACACACACCAGGTAGTTTAACACCAGGCAAATATTATTGTTTCAATATAGACCTACAGACATATGTCATTAGACCAAATAATCAGAGTTACACAAAGCAACACTTAATGATAAATACAGGCATATGTCTAATTGGGGACAAACAGGGAACTCACGTATAGGCTGAACTAGGCCCACAGATAGTTAGACACGTGAGACCTCTAGGCTGTGGGGGTCATAGACATGGACACTCACAGCTGGCATGTGCCATTATCCACACAAATAGGCAGACCATCGTATTTATTAGCACACACACACACAGAACCAGCCATGCACACTCTCAAATGCACAGATACAAAGAGCCTCGTCTCTATCCTGCAGATATGCAGACATCTACACTCAAACTCATAAGGGACCAGACATCAGAAAAGCATTGTGTCCTGCCCAGAGTTTTGTCTATATGCAGTTTTGTAACAACAGTAGGCCCAAAGAGCCAGAGAAGCTCTTGTTTTCCTGTTTTTCTCCCATTCTTCTTGTCTGTGGAGAACAGCTCTCAGTGAGGCGGCTGCTAGCCTCCACAGGCTCCAGGGCCTCCCTCCCCAGCGGGGGGCCCTACCCAGCCCAGCCCCAGGCGGGAGCTGCATGGCTTTCCCAGAGCGGGGCTGCTTCCTCCAAGCTCTGGAGTGTGACCGAGCGCCTGCTCATTTGACACAGGTCACCGAGCCTCCAGCAGATGGGGCCCTCGCTGTGGGGGGTCTCCCAGCCAGAGGGGCAGTGGGGGTGGGGTGAGGGAGGCCCTGCGGGGAGGAGCAGGAGCTCCAGCAAGCTCTAGCTCTGAAAGCTGTATGCAGAGCCTGGGGTCACAGACACAGACCTGCTCCCTGGAGACGCAGCAGACTGGGCTGGCCTCCAGAACACGACCACGCTCAGCCAGTCGCCATCAGCGCCCTGGAGGCCACGTATGCTCTGCCCCACATCCCAGGCAGGGCAGCCTGCACAATGGCACACGGAGCCCAGGCTTGGGGGCGGGGTGGAGAATGAGTGGCATTTTGACTCAGCTTGTCTTTGCAAGCAGCTGGGTCTGGCTACTTTCCCCTTGGGTCTGGCTACTTTCCCCTCAGGTCTTTGAGTCCTCTTTTACCCCTGCCTCCCCTGCCAATGGGTCAGGAGTCCAGGAAACAAAGAGGGCAGGTGTAGCCACAGATCCAAGACCTTTTCAATGCTGTGGGGGCCCTGACTCAGGCCAATCCATGATATTGGGTAATCTCAGTTTCCTAATCTCCATGCTCCTCTAGCACCTGCCACTGGGAGTTTTTGCAAGTCAAGAATGAGGGGGAGAGGTAGACAGGGGAGCGAAGGGACCCATGCAGAGGGCTGCTGGAGGAACTGTGTCTTAGATATTGTTCTGCACCTGTGGCCTTTGAGTCTTTGAGGCTGTCTGTGCTGGGACAGTATTCACCACCTATTTCCTTTCCGTTCTCATGCCCTAGATTGTGCATTTCCAGAGAGCCTGACTTAGGAATCACCACCCAGGGTCTCATTTGGGTCCTCATTCAAGTTTGTTGGATCACTTTGGGCCAGTCTTGGTCTCCTAATCTTTGTG